CTGTGTCCTCCTCTAGGAGCCCACACCAGGAGGTCAGCGTGCAAGGTCGAGACTCAAAGGTCCCGAGTAGCAATTGTTTTTAAAAGACAGACCTGCTTTCTGATACAGCTAACAGAGTGTCAGCCGGGAGCTTGATCTGGGGGTTGAACGCAATTACTTGTTCCTGTCTGACTTGACACGTCACAGCTGGGAGCCAAATTTGGTGGAGAAAGCCAAATTTCAGGCATCGTCCTGCCTGACAGGAAGTCAGAGCAGCGTGTTTCTGAAATCCGTTTGAAACGTGCTGTTCTCGTTACATCCGAAGCCGAGGTTCACAGGGTGCGGCTCAGAAAAACCCAATCACAGAGGGAAAGGAGCAGAAAGCAGGTGCCATGAATTCCCCCAAGGAGCTGTGACTATGTAGCATCCCCCCACCCAACTCTTTTGCAAAAGTGCCAGAAAATGATGTGATTTCATGCTCGCCCATGAAAACATGAGGTGCGGTGGGTGTTGAACCCATGGGTTTCTATTTAGAGCCGCAGCCGAAGTGATGCTTCTAAAGACTCCACAGTGGCTTTTTACATCTATAAACGTCCCACTTCCTAGAGGAGGAATGCAGACTTGATAATGGTTTGCAAGAGAACAGTCCACCCCATGCTACTTAGGACATGGCTTCTTCTGTTGTTGTTGTTGTTGTTGTTTTTTTTAGGTAAGAGTGAATTTAGTTGTTCCCAATATAAAATAACAAAATCACAACCGGGCCTCCGGTGGTGAGGGAGAAACCCGTTTTGGCTTCACAGCTTTAGCCACGGAACAGTTTTTTAAACAAGTTTTCTGCCCTGCTCGCCATCTGGGAGGAGGCTGAAGGAGAAACCCTTATGAAACCGCGGGGGCCAGCTCAGAGCCGTTGGACCAGCCCTGGGTGGGATGGGCTCACGGGCTCTGACCCCGACGATGCAAAGCCCATGGGAGGAATTGAAACCAAAAGCTGGGTGGGGAAACTTCCTTGCCTTCCGTATGTGTGCCAGCTGGTCTGTGCTCTCTGGCCTGCAACGTGGCCAAACAAATGAGCAAAGGAACAAGGGACCAGATCTCTTCTGTCTCGGGAAACATCACGAGACACGCGGAGGCCGTCGGCGGTGGGCAGGTGTCTGCACCGAGAATGCGCACGGACGTGCCCGGGGTCCTGTGGGCTCTGACTCGCCTCTCCCGCTTCCGCACGTCGCAGCGGGGCGTGCTGTGGGGGGCACGGGGCTGAGCCCATCGTGTTCACCCAGTGGGAGGCTGGGCGGCCGGGCAGCTGCAGTGATGGCCAAAGGCTTTGATACGACGCCCCAGGGAAGCTGCGAGTGGGTTTGTAGCCCTATTAAAGAAAGAGGAAAACAAGAAGCTTAAATGTTGATTCAACCTAACATATTATTAAAAGACAGATGCAGAATAGAAAGGGGATACTCCGAAATTAGGAGTAATTTATGGTTGAAAAGCTAAAATCAAATACTTCTTTGCCACTAATCTGCATACGAACAGATTTCTCAGTAGTTAGTTACGACTCACATATCCGAAATATCCACTTAGTAATTTAAAGACCTTATTGCTTTGTGATGAGGTTAGTCCTGCCTTGAGAAAGAGATGCCATTTCTGAGGGTGGTGAATGCTAGAGGGGAAATAAACAAACGAGGCAGATGACAAGTCTTTATACCTCTTAAAAGGTTCTGTGACTGTCAAATTCCATCACCTGTAAGGCGGAATTCAGGCTTAAAATACATTTTTTTTGAAGTCTAACTTGACTGGGGATATTTAGAAGGAAATTTACTAAACGTGTTCATTGATGGAATAAGAAAGAAATTGTTACATTTACTTAACTGGCAGAAGAAAACTGCCTATTCTTGCCTGCTTGAAATATTCCTCCCCAACTAGGTCAAATCCAACTTAATTCCTTCTAGTGGATAAAAATGACATAAAAAAATCAATGTTTTTTCCTTTTATTAGTATTTATTTATTTTAATTGGAGGATAATTACTTAACAGTCTTGTGATGGCTTTTGCCATACATCAGCATGAATCGGCCACAGGCACACACGTGTCCCTTTGTCCTAGACGCCCCTCCCACCTCTGTCCCCACCCCCACCCCCCCAGGTTGTTGCAGAGCCCTGGCTTCAGGGTCCCTGTGTCATATACCAAACTCCCCCTGGCTATCTACTTTATATATGGTAATGTATACATTTTGTGGTGCTGGAGAAGATTAGCATCACTGACTCAATGGACATGAACTTGAGCAAATTCCAGGAGATAATGAAGGACAGGGAAGCCTGGCTTATTGCAGTCCATGGGGTGGCAAAGAGTTGGATAGGACTTAGCAACTGAGCAACAACAGCAAAGTATATGTTTCAATGCAATCCTCTCTAATCATCCAACCGACTAAATGCTACTTTAAGGTAAAAGGTAAGGCTTAGGACTTCCCTGGTGGTGCATGGATTCAGACTTCACACTTCCACCGCAAGGGACATGGGTTCAATTCCTGGTGGGGACACTAAGACCCCATATGCTGCACCATGCTGCTGCCAAAAAGAAAGAAAAGAAAAAGGCAAGGCCAACATACCAGAGGATTTCCAAGGGGCAGGAAGGTATCAGTGATGCAGGTAAGAGCAGCCTCTGAAAATCCACATGCTTCAAAGTCTGTGCCATGCATGGAACATGGGGGACCATCCCTGAAACTCTGCTTCTGTGGGCTCCCCTTGTATCCAGGCAGACGCCCTGGCAGTGCACCCTGAGAGTCGTCCTTTAATGCACCTGTGATCCCTAGCAATAAAGAATCTGCCTGCAAAGTAGGAGACCTGGGTTTGATCCCAGGGTCTGGAGGATCCCCTGGAGAAGAAAACGGCAACCCATTCCAGTATTCTTGCCTGGGAAATCCCATGGACTGAGGAGCCTAGCGGGCAGAGCCTATGGGGTGGCAAAGAGTGGGGCACGACTGGACACCTGAGAATGATCTTCCCGCCAGGGCAACGTGGCCCAGGAGACAGGCGGTCACCCGCTGGTGGCCTTCAGTCGTCTCTGCACTTCCGTCTCTACGGCACTGCCTCCACAAATTTGATTCAAACCCTCCTGCTGCATGAAGATTCTCCAGGTTGTCACTTGGCATCGGATCAGACAGATGCTGGAAGGTGAGGGCTGCAGCCTGGCTGGCTGGGAGGTGCCACGCACGGTCCCCACCTTCTGAGGCCCCGGGAGGTCTCTGTCCTGTGTCAGCGTTGCTGTGTACATCATCTGCTCCAAAGACCACAGAGGACTCCCTGCCTCCCGCCCAGCTGTGGATGTCTTCAGGGCCCAGGACAAGCGTTCAGGTGGGGAACGTCTGCCTCATCCCCTTCCGGGCAGAGGTCTTGGCATGGGCTCGGGATACCCATGCCAGCTCAGAGCCTTCTCAGCCCTCTGCTGGACCCACAGCCTGGTGCTTTCATGAAAGTAGCAAATGATGATTAGTCTCGTTTTCCCCACCAAACACTGAATCAGCTCCATGAACTGGGGCTGGGACTTGTCTTCATGGGAAACCCAGGAACTTCTTTGTTTTTTTAACTTTCAATTGAAGGATATGGTTGATTTACAACATTGTGTTAGTTTCAGGTGTATAGCAGAGGGATTCATACATGTTTATATTCTTTTTCATATTCTTTTCCATTATGGTTTATTACAGGATATTAAACACAGTTCTATACAGTAGGACTTTGTCATTTATCAATTTTATATAGCAGTTTGCATCTGTTAATCGCCAACTCCTAAATTACCTCTCTCTACCTTTGACTTTTGGTAATTATAAATTTGGTTTGTGCGTCTGTGAGTCTGTTTCTGTTTCATAGATAAGTTCATTTGCATCATATTTTAGATTACACAGCAAGTAATATCATATGATATTTGTGTTTCTCTTTCTAACTTATTTCACTTAGTATGATAATCTCTGGGTCCATTGATGTTGATGCAAATGGCATTATTTCACTTTCTGTGGCTGAATGATACTCCATTGTATGTTTGTACCACTTCTTCTTTATCCACTCATGTGTCAGTGGACATTTAGGTTGCTTCCACGTTTTGGTTATTGTAAATAGTGCTGCTATGAACACCAAAGTGCGTGCAACTTTTCAAATTAGAGTGTTCTCTGTACACATATGCATCTTTTCAAATTAAAGACCAGAAGTGCGATTGCTGGATTTTACTGTAGTTCTGTTTGTTTTTTAAGGAACCTCCATGCTGTTCTCCATAGTGGCTGCACCAACTTACAATCCCACAAACAGTGTGGGAGGGTTCCCTTTTCTCCACATCCTATCTATCATTGTTTGTGGATTTTTGATGATGGACATTCTGACTGGTGGGAGGTGATACCTCATGGTAATTTGATTTGTGTTTGTCTGATCATAAGCAAGAATTTCTGGCAAAAAGATCAGGGGAGTTTAGAAGCTCTGGGGATGCACCAGAATGCCTCCTGTGTCCTGGGCACAGAGAGGGGAGATGATGAGGAAACCCTGCTGGCCTGAGTTCATGCTTTCTCACCTTGCGTGGTGAGCTGGGTGACGCAGCATTTGTGGAAGAGGCGCCCAGTGCAGCCTGAGTCTGGAAAAGTGCTTCACGTCTTGGTTTGCTGCAGAACCAGGACCCCAGGCTCTCCTGGTCTTAACAGCAAGCCCCCGTCAAGTCCAGTAAATCTGGCAAGTCACCCCCTGCCACCTGCGGCTGTGATGAAAAATCAGCTCCTACCTCACTGGTTCTACTCATCAAGCAGCCTCTTCAGGGCTCCATCAGCGCCCTCTAAATAGTGGGCTCATCGTGAGGCTAGACACCAATGCTAAAACCAAAGCCTATAATTTTATATGTAAATGTGGGCGTCTCTCAGGCATATGGTGGTGTCATTTCACCCTTTAAAGGTTGGAAAATATGTGGTAGTTGGCTGGGAAACTAGTTAGCTCTCCAGGATAGGTATTTTTCAGGTGTAAACATTTCTTTCCTGGTTGATTTCAAGGTCCCCATGGTCTAACAACAAGCCTGCCGATTTCTGGTGGTAGAGCGTTTGGCTCTCGTGAGCCTGTCCAGGTGGACCAGCACAGCCCCTGAATCCGCCTCCTGTATGTGAACACGAGAAAAGCTACTCTTCCGGCTCGTCGCCCTGATTGGCATCCAGGGGTCTGGGTCACTCGTGGCCCTACAGGCCATGCCCGACTGCCGTGTGCAAGGAAGAGTGTGGCCACGGCCACTGCTCACCTCGCTGCAGCCACACTCCGGCCGCGGCCGGTGACCACCTAGACCACAAGGGCGGGGACAGGCACTCTTGGGGCTTACAGACTGGCTTGGCTCCTGGTTTGGGGGCATCAAACCCACACTCGTTCATGCTCACACAGTGGGGAGCCCTCTTCCTGAGCATCATTCTCGCCCTGGCCTCACACAGGAATACAGAGGGTGTTGGCAGGACACAGGTGGACATCTCATGCCCATCAAGAGGACAGGCAGCGGGGGGGAAAGGTTGTCACCCCCAGCATGAGCCACAGGCTTCAGAGAAGAGTTGAGTCACTTTCAGGGGGCCAGGACAATCTTGCTGGGGAAACATCAAGAACAGCACACATTTCAGTTGGCATTTCTTGTATGAATATCCAACCATGAAATCAAGGAAAGTTGAGACAAGCTTCCAAGTGCATGCCTGGTTGCGCTGGTATTCATATACACTTATCAACAACTGCTCATATCTATTTTAAGCTGCATTCATCTGTCATTCTACCTGTTCTCCATTGTTTTAAAGCTCCTATCTTTCTTTCAGCATACATTCTTTCAGCTCAAGTTTTTTTTCCAGACTTGAAGCCCACACAGTTTAAAATGACTTGTAGAGTACATAATTTGTAAATAAGGTTGAGAAAATATTGATAAGCTAGAACTCCTCTTTGAATTCTACGTTGGCATTAAGATAATCCTAATTTGACTGATGCTGAAGGACTGATGCTGGAGCTGAAGCTCCAATCCTTTGGCCATCTGGTGCAAAGAGCTGACTCACTAGAAAAGACCCTGATGCTGGGAAAGATTGAAGGCAGGAGGAGAAGGGGACGACAGAAGACAAGATGGTTGACTAGCATCACAGACTCAATGGACCTGAGTTTGAGCAAGCTCTGGAGATGGTGAAGGACAGGAAAACTGGTGTGCTGCAGTCCATGGGGTTGCAAAGAATTATACATGACTGAGTGACTGAGAAACAACAGAATTTCAAATTATGCACAAGTGAGTTAGAATTCAGAAATGATGTAGGCCTCTGTGGTGAGAACACTTAGGATGCTTCAGCTGGTAACCTATGACATATTTATTTTCATTAGATTCCCTGATGTAAGTTAAATTAAAATGAGAAATGAGACCTCTCCTCTGGCTTGTTCATTGCTTGTTAGTTTTTTTTTCCATTGGATCAAAACAGGAAGACTAGAAATATTCATTCCAGCCAGACTGCTTCACTATGTAACTGGCGTACACCTGGTGTGTAATGTGTTAAACCAACTGTAATGGGGATGTTCAGTTATCTGTATGAATCCATGTGTGTATAGAAAAATACAAAAGTGCCTCTTTTTAATCCTCACTTTTTACCCATATGATTCTTTTGCCTTTTTAAATCTATCCTTCTAAGATCATCACTAAAGTTACTCAAAATAGACATCCTAAAATATTCATTAGAGGTTGTTTTTCCCTGACCCAGGCATATCTGAAAAGGAGGAAAAACAGACATTGAAATTCTCACCTGAGAGATGAAAGGAAAGCCCTTCAAAACCAGACCAGTGTCGCTGCCCCCTTGATCCCAGGACCGTCTCCACCATGACTGCTGCCTGCGGAGAAGTTAGGCACATCGACAAGGTCACATGCATTTCCTCTCTTCATCTGACTCATCTTCCCAAAACATCATCCGCAGTCACCGGCTACCTTGGAATCACTACGCATACATTTCACACCAGCTGCGAAGAATCTAACAGACGTTCATCAGAGCATCTCCTGTGCCCATGTTGTCTGCACATCGGGGGTGTCTAAGGAGCAACCAGAGAGACCTTGAGAGCCAGCGGCAACAACAGCCAGCATGCGACTGCCCCACTCCATTTTCTCCCACCATGTTTATGTGGGAGCTGCCTCCGTTGGCGGACTTCTGGAAAAGAGCACGATGATCTCGTTACTTCAATATATGAATCCTGTGACCCAGTGTCTGAAAGTCCCGACTCCATTCCCCTTGGTTGTTGCCTACTCATCCCCGCTTCGGGAGAGCTGACCATCAGGAAGGAGTGAATCTGTGCTTGTACCTTATGCAGGCCAGCCAGGGTGGGCACTGCCTGGGATGGGGGGCACTTCAGGGTCAGGAGACGAGCAAGCACCAGACCGTGAGGGTCTCTGACCCCTAGGAGGGCAGAGCTGCTCCCTCCCTCCAAGGGCGGTGATGGCCAAACCTCAGAAGGACTTCACGGCAAGGCACTTTGGGAAGAGGATTCTGTTTCATCCAAAACACACTCCAGTGGGATAATTTATCACTCACTGTTGGAACACTTCCCCTGGTATGGTTGCTTCTTTAAAAAAGTAAAAAAAAAGAACAAAACAACAACAACAACAAAAAAACAGAAAAAAAGAGCCATCTACATTCAGACATGCCCATTGTCTCCCCCAGGGATCAAACCCCCATCTCTTCTATCTCCTGCACTGGCAGGCAGGTTCTTTACCACTTGCACCAAGGGGGAAAGCTTGCAAACTGTCATTAAAATGTAACTCTTTCAGGAGGCATGGATAATCAGGATGTGTGGGTAGCCACTTCTCTTGTGTGATTTTTCAAGCCAGATTCATTTGCAGATGTCCGTAAATGCTGGTCTCTGCATGGAGAAGCTGGTAATCGTGGGCGCTAGACTTGTCCTAGAAGCAGACGATAGTGTCAGCCGCCCACTGCCGGGACGCCCTTGTCTTCCTCCTCAGCCCCCTTCCCTCCGACGTGTCCAGCACACACCTGAGCCTTTTGAAGCGAGTTTGTACAGGGTTTTCTGCAGAAGGAGTCTTACTTAACAAACGTCTGGCTTCCACATAGTGGCCGTTGACTTCGGTCATGCAGCTGCAGTGATAATAGCTTCTGTATGCAGGGGATAGCCGGGCAGGACATCACATTCATCTTTCTTTCCTGGATGGCCCATCTTCTACTCTGAATGGACAAGGAGGACTCCAGCCATGGCTTCAAAGACACGAAGCAGCACAAACCGTCCTGCCCCGTGCTTCATGCCCCCGACCCCGGCACCCGATTCCTCCCAAAGAATCAGGGAAGATTGCCTCTCCGTCCAGTAGTCACTGGGAGGAGTGCAGATGTCACGTCTCCAGGACCTGCTCTCTCTGTGTCTCAGACAGGCAGCCCCTGCACCCTCCTGACAGGTTTAGCTTCCCCCTGTGATTAAAGAAAGACCAGGAAGAAGCAAAGGCTAGAGGTAAATTTCAGTTTTAAGAAAGACGAGAACGAAACTGACAGGAGAGGAAGTTTGTTGCGCTGGGTCAGCCGCCAGACGCCTGGGTGTTTTCCCTCAAGATCTCGGCTGCGGAAAAATATAATGAAAACTCTCTTTACCAGGCAAGAGAACTGCGTATTATGACAGGCAGCCCTGCTCCTGGTTGTGGGTTCTCCCTGCGATACACAAGAGCTGGGCAGGAGAAGGTAAAGTTCAAACAAATAACGCAGAAAGTGTTCCTTGGTGTGTCTTCTTTCTGTTCCTCTCTCCAGCCTCCTCTGGGCTGATTTCCCCTTCGTGATGGGGGCTCTCAGCCTCCTGACAGCCATGCCCGGGGAGGAGGAGAAGTGGTTCCGGAGGAGAGGGAGGGATACAGGGCTGCGATGCTCCTGGTAGCTTCAGGAGAGGGAAACTAAACCTACTTTCCTTAGTACGAATGAGTCTGGAGATCAGATTCATTTCCTCTAAACCTGATCCTTACCAAATACTTTGTCACTCTGTTTTCTTGTTCTTCCCCTCTCATGTTTGGACCACATACACACACACACACACACTGAAAAAAAAGAAATAAAAGCAGTGAAGATGTGAATTAAGACCCTTGTCTTCACAATTACTCTTGTTTTAAATATAAACATGCACTAATTTTTTAATTATTTATCTATTTCTTCACTTACTCTTGGCTGTGCTGGGTCTTCATTGCTGCGTGGGGCTTTATGCAGTTGTGGCAAGTGGGGGCTACAGTCCGCCTGCAGTGGCTGCTCTTGTCGAGGAGCACGGGCGCTTAAGACACATGGACTGCGGTGGTTACAGCTCCCAGCTCTAGAGAGCAGGCTCAAGAGCTGTGCTGCACAGGCCGAGTTGCTCCATGGCGTGTGGGATCTTCCCAGACCAAGGATCGAACCTGTGTCTCCTGCACTGGCCGGCCAGCTTCTTTTACCCCTGAGTCGCCAGGGAAGCCCTCTTTCCAGTTACTAATTGTGCATACTGTCCATGTCCTCACGGCTAGAGGGAACCTGAAAGACTCGCTGCTGCTCACCTGTTTCCTCTTCAGCTACAGGGATGGAGGCGAGGATCAGCAGCCTGCTAGCCTGACCGCAACCGCTGGCTCCTCCTGTCTGTGCAAAAAAACACGGGAAATTTTCGTGAGTCTGACTTTATGCTTGTTCCTATGAGCAAGTAGACATTTTGGCAGCAAACAAAGGTACGCCTACAGCCATAGATATATTGTAGCTGTAGATGCAGGTGTGTGTATAAATTAATACTACACGTGTAAATATATATGTTTATGGGCTGTGTGTGCTAAGCTGCTTCAGGTCATGTATGACTCTTTGCAACCTGAAGGACTTTAGCCAGCCAGGTTTTTCCATCCGTGGGATTCTCCAGCTAAGAATACTGAGTGGGTCACCATGCCCTCTTTCAGGGGATCTTCTTGACCCAGGGATCAAACCCAAGGTTCTTGTGTCTTCTGCATTGGCGGTCAGGTTCTTTACCACTAGCACAGCCTGGGAAGCCCCTCATATGTTCATAATGATTATATATTAGCAAGAAGATAACATTTAAACTATCAGTGCAGTAGGCTCACATTTCATATCACTAGTGTTATTGCAAACTGTGCCAGAAATGCTATTAGAGTATGAATTTTGACCCTAAGTTCCTTAAAGGGGAACCCTGGAAAAGCTCTTGAGAATGAAGCCTGTTCCAGGCAGGCCACTTGGGACCTTAAGGATGTAAAGAAAAAGACTGAATTGAGCCAGGTCTCAGCCCACACCTGTCTCCACTTCTGAGACCAACATTTTCAGCCCTGGAAGAATTCCTGGCTGATGCCTTCACCAGCTTTGTTCCAGTCCTCACTACAGAGCTATCCACCTCCTGAGAAGCGGGACGAGGAGAGTCACTTTAAGGATTTTCAGACATATAGTTACAGACAGAGAAAACCCACTTCCTGCTATGATAGGAGTGATTCTGCCCCCTAAAGAATAAAAACAAACAACAACAGAAGCATATGTGTTCTGCCCCTTACACTATTCAGTTCAGTTTAGTTCAGTTCAGTCGCTGAGTCGTGTCCAGCTCTTTGCGACCCCATGAATCGCAGCACGCCAGGCCTCCCTGTCCATCACCAACTCCTGGAGTTTACTCAAACCCATGTCCATCGAGTCGGTGATGCCATCCAGCCATCTCATACTCTGTCATCCCCTTCTCCTCCTGCCCCCAATCCCTCCCAGCATCAGGGTCTTTTCCAATGAGTCAGTTCTTCGCATCAGGTGGCCAACTTTGAAGCTGGAGTTTCAGCTTCAGCATCAGTCCTTCCAATGAACACCCAGGACTGATCTCCTTTAGGATGGACTGGTTGCATCTCCTTGCAGTCCAAGGGACTCTCAAGAGTCTTCTCCAACACCACAGTTCAAAAGCATCAATTCTTCAGCACTCAGCTTTCTTCACAGTCCAACTCTCACATCCACACATGACCACTGGAAAAACCATAGCCTTGACCAGATGGACCTTTGTTGGCAAAGTAATGTCTCTGCTTTTTAATATGCTATCTAGGTTGGTCATAACTTTCCTTCCAAGGAGTAAGCGTCTTTTAATTTCATGGCTGCAATTGCCATCTGCAGTGATTTTGAAGCCCCCCAAAATAAAGTCTGACACTGTTTCCACTGTCTCCTCATCTATTTCCCATGAGGTGATGGAACCAGATGCCATGATCTTAGTTTTCTCAATGTTAAGCTTTAGGCCAACTTTTTCACTCTCCTCTTTCACTTTCATCAAGAGGCTTTTTAGTTCCTCTTCACTTTCTGCCATAAAGGTGGTGTCATCTGCATATCTGAGGTTATTGATATTTCTCCTGGCAATCTTGATTCCAGCTTGTTTCTTCCAGCCCAGCGTTTCTCATGATGTACTCTGTATATAAGTTAAATAATCACGGTGGCAATATACAGCCTTGACATACTCCTTTTCCTGTTTGGAGCCGTGTGTTGTTCCATGTCCAGTTCTAACTGTTGCTTCCTGACCTGCATATAAGTTTCTCAAGAGGCAAGTCAGGTGGTCTGGTATTCTCATCTCTTTCAGAATTTTCCATAGTTTATTGTGATCCACACAGTCAAAGGCTTTGGTGTAGTCAGTAAAGCAGAAATAGATGTTTTTCTGGAACTCTGTAGCTTTTTCAATGATCCAGCGGATGCTGCCAATTTGATCTCTGGTTCCTCTGCCTTTTCTAAAACCAACTTGAACATCTGGAAGTTGATGGTTCACGTATTGCTGAAGCGTGGTTTGGAGAATTTTGAGCATTACCATTACTAACATGAAAAACATTTAAAAGTAATTTAAAGCTTGAATAATTTACTGAAGATTTCAACATTCACCAGCAGATCCTGAGATTGATGTGGGAGTGGATGATTGGCACATGTGGCCATTGTACATCCTGGTAATATTTGTTAACTCTTGATTAAACTCACAGCTTCACACTCACAGCATTTCCCTCCCTGATAGGGAAGAAAACTTAAATATGATATTTAATAGTTGAAAACCAGTCAATCCTAAAGGAAATCAACCCTGAATATTTGTTGGAAAGACTGATGCTGAAACCCCAATACTTTGGCCCCCTGATGAGAAGAACTGACTCATTGGAAAAGTCCCTGATGCTGGAGAAGATTGAGGGCAAGAGGAGAAGGGGACGACAGAGGATGAGACGGTTGGGTGGCATCACTGACTCGATGGACGTGGGTTTGAGCGAGCTCAGGGAGATGGTGAAGGACAGGGGAGCCTGGCGCACTGTGGTTCACTGGGTCACAAAGAGTTGGACGTGACTTAGTGACTGAACAACAACAGCAACAACAATAACTGAAAGCAGGGCATCAGTAAAATGATGCCGTATCCTCTTCTAATAATGCTTTAAACACAGCGCAATCTAGGCCCGATGAAATAGCTGCACATTTTTCAGCGGAGAGTGATACCTAATGCTCTGATACTCTGAGGAAATGACTCACGCTACACACATCAGTGAAGATCAGTTGCCAAGTCTTCAGATAGTCCAACAAGCTAGACACCAAATAAGGAGCCTAAGAGCTTCAGCAAATGAAAATTCCTTAAGGTAAAAACGATACACTAGGCGTAACCAATCTAAGCACAAGATAAATATTAAAGGGAATACTGGAAACAGCAACAGAAAGAGGCTTGGAATTCCCTGCTTAATGTTTTGCCTTTATGTAATACATCATGTAGCTAAAGTGTCTTACACATGACGCTTTACCAAAAGCAGTGGTGCATATCTGGGATATTGGTGACAGGTGTCTATTACAAACATTGTTTTCAACTAGTATGCACACACACAAAAATGAGCTAAAGCTGATAAGGCAAACTAAAAACTAATAAAATGTTTAAAGTCTAAAAACAAAAACTCTAAAAAACAAAAGATATCCTTTGCCTTGGATTGGAAGGAATAATACCGTTACAATGACAATACTACACAAAGCAATCTACAGATTTAATTCAGTCCCTATCAAAATACTCATGACATTTTTCAGAGAACTAGAACCTTTATATGGAATGGCAAAATACCTGGAATCACCACAGCAGTCTTGGGTAAAAAGAATAAAGCTGGAGGTATCACTTGAGTAGCCTTCAAATTATGCAGTAAATATACAGTGTGAAACAGTGTGTTAGTGGCCCAAAAACACACACAAAGATCAACAAAACAGAACAGAGAGCCCAGAAATAAATGCACAGGCTTATGATCATTTAATCTATGACAGTAGATTTAATCTATGTCTATTATCTAAAATATGTAAGTTATTAAATTACTAATTTAATCTATGACAATTAATATATGACAAAAGAATATACAATGGAGAAAAGACAATCTCTTCAATAAGTGGTGCTGGGAAAACTGGACAGCTACTGGCAAAAGAATGAAATTAGAACATTCTCTAATACATATACAATAATAAACTCAGAATGGATTAAACACCTAAATGTAAGACCTGAAACCCTAAAACTCCCACCAGAGAACATAGGCCGAACATTCTGTGACATAAATAGGAGCAATATTTTTTGGATCTGTCTCTTAAGCCCAAATAAATAAAGCTAAAATATACAAATGGGACCTCTTTAAAGGCAAAAAGCGTGTGCACAGCAAAGGGAATCATCGACAACAGGAAAAGGCAATCTACTGAATGGGGTAAAATATCTGCAAAGGTATGACTGAGAAGGGATTAATATCCCAAAACACATAAATAGCTCATACAAATTAATATCAAACAAACGACAAGATGGAAACTGGGCAGAAAACCTGAGTAGACATTTTTCAAAAGACGATGTACAGATGGCTAATAGGCACATGAAGAGATGTCAGCATCACTGATTATCAGGGGAATGGAAATCAAAACAGCAATGAAAAATCAGCTCACACCTGTCAGAATGACTATCATCAAAAAGTCTACAAACAAAAAATGTTGGTGAGGATGAAGAGAAAAGAGAACCCTTGGACCCTGTGGGTGAGAGTGTAAATAGGTGCAGTCCCTGTGAAGAACAGTAAGGAGGATCCTCAAAAACAGAACTACCACATGATCCAGCAATTCCACTCCTGGATATATATCCAGAAAAAAAAATCCACTAATTTGAAAAGATTCATGCACCCCAATGTTCATAGTGTATTCATAACTGATATGGAAAGAGCCCAAGAGTCTGTCAAGATGAGTGAGATGAATGATGAAGAAGATATGGATATATAGACATATATCTTCTATGATTTAGTGTATGTATATGTTATCTTTTATGAATTAGTGTATATATACATATGTATATTTGTGTATATATAGATATATACACCCCTGGCATTTGCAACAACATGGGCGAGCTTAGAGAATATTGCACGTAGTGAAATAACTCATAGAAAGACAAACACTGTATGATATCACTTATTTGTGAAATATGAAAAATAAAAATAAGGCAAAGGAATGTATATAGCAAACTAGAAACTAAGGCCACAGAGAACAGACTAACAGACATAGACAACAAACTAGTGGTTACCCGCGGGGAGAGAGGGGGGAGAGGCAAGGCCAGGATGTGGGACCAAGAGAAGTAAACTGGTATGTATAAAATAGATAGCAATGGGGCTATG